TCATGTCATCTGCAAACAGTGACAGTTTTTCTTTTCTAATTTGGATTTCTTTTATTTATTTTTCTTCTCTGATTGCCGTGGCTAGGACTTCCAAAACTATATTGAATAATAGTGGTGAGAGTGGACATCCTTGCCTTGTTCCTGATGTTAGAGGAAATGGTTTCAGTTTTTCATCATTGAGAATGATGTTTGCTGTGGGTTTGTCATATATGGCCTTTATTATGTTGAGGTAGGTTCCGTCTATGCCCATTTTCTGGAGAGATTTTATCATAAATGGGTTTTGAATTTTGTCAAAAGCTTTTTCTGCATCTATTGAGAAGATCGTGTGGTTTTTCTTCTTCAATTTGTTAATATGGTGTATCACATTGATTGATTTACATATATTGAAGAATCCTTGCATCCCTGGGATAAATCCCACTTGATCATGGTGTATGATCCTTTTAATGTGTTGTTGGATTCTGTTTGCTACTATTTTGTTGAGGATATTTGCATCTATATTCATCAGTGATATTGGTCTGTAATTTTCTTTTTTTTGTAGAATCTTTGGTTTTGGTATCAGGGTGATAGTGGCCTCATAGAATGAGTTTGGGAGTGTTCCTTCCTCTGCAATTTTTTGGAAGAGTTTGAGAAGGATAGGTGTTAGCTCTTCTCTAAATGTTTGATAGAATTCGCCTGTGAAGCCATCTGGTCCTGGGCTTTTGTTTGTTGGAAGATTTTTAATCACAGTTTCAATTTCAGTGCTTGTGATTGGTCTGTTCATATTTTCTGTTTCTTCCTTGTTCAGTCTTAGAAGGTTATATCTTTCTACGAATTTGTCCTTTTCTTCCAGGTTATCCATTTTATTGGCATAGAGTTGCTTGTAGTAGTCTCTAGCATGCTTTGTATTTCTATGGTGTCTGTTGTAACTTCTCCTTTTTTATTTCTAATTTTATTGATTTGAGTCCTCTCCGTCTTTTTCTTGATGAGTCTGGCTAGTGGTTTATCAACTTTGTTTATCTTCTCAAAGAACCAGCTTTTAGGGCTTCCCTGGTGGCGCCGTGGTTGAGAGTCCGCCTGCCGATGCAGGGGACGCGGGTTTGTGCCCCAGTCCGGGAAGATCCCACATGCCGCGAAGCAGCTGGGCCCATGAGCCATGGCCGCTGAGCCTGCGCGTCCGGAGCCTGTGCTCCGCAACAGGAGAGGCCACAACAGTGAGAGGCCCGTGTACCTCAAAAAAAAAAAAAAAAAGAACCAGCTTTTAGTTTTATTGATCTTTGGTCTTGTTTTCTTTGTTTCTTTTTCATTTATTTCTGCTTTGATCTTTATGATTTCTTTCCTTCTGCTAACTTTGGGTTTTGTTTGTTCTTTCTTTAGTTCCTTTAGGTGAAAGTTTAGATTGTTTACTTGAGATTTTTCTTGTTTCTTGAGGTAGGCTTGTATAGCTATAAACTTCCCTCTTAGAACTGCTTTTGCTGCATCCCATAGCTTTTGGATCGTAGTGTTTTAATTGTCATTTGTCTCTAGGTATTTTTTGATTTCCTCTTTGATTTCTTCGGTGATCTCTTGGTTATTTAGTAATGTATTGTTAGCCTCCATGTGTTTGTGTTTTTTACGTTTTTTTCCCTGTAATTCATTTCTAATCTCATAGCCTTGTGGTCCGAAAAGATGCTTGATATGATTTCAATTTTCTTAAATTTACTCACGCTTGATTTGTGACCCAAGATGTGATCTATCTTGGAGAATGTTCCGTGCGCTCTTGAGAAGAAAGTGTAATCTGGTTTTGGATGGAATGTCCTATAAATATCAATTAAATCTATCTGGTCTATTGTGTCATTTAAAGCTTCTGTTTCCTTATTTATTTTCATTTTGTATTATCTGTCCATTGGTGTAAGTGAGGTGTTAAAGTGCCCCACTATTGTTGTGTTACTGTCGATTTCCTCTTTTATAGCTGTTAGCAGTTGCCTTATGTATTCAGGTGCTCCTATGTTGGGTGCATATATATTTATAATTGTTATATCTTCTTCTTGGATTGATCCCTTGATCATTTTGTAGTGTCCTTCTTTGTCTCTTTATTTATAAACATTCTTTATTTTAAAGTCTATTTTATCTGATATGAATATTGCTACTCCAGCTTTCTTTTGATTTCCATTTGCATGGAATATCTTTTTCCATCCCCTCACTTTCAGTCTATATGTATCCCTAGGTCTGACGTAGGTCTCTTGTAGCCAGCATATACATGGGTCTTGTTTTTGTATCCATTCAGTGAGCCTGTGTCTTTTGGTTGGAGCATTTAATCCATTCACGTTTAAGGTAATTATCAATATGTATGTTCCTGTGACCATTTTCTTAATTGTTTTGGGTTTGTTTTTGTAGGTCCTTTTCTTCACTTGTGTTTTCCACTTAGAGAAGTTCCTTTAGCATTTGTTTTAGAGCTGGTTTTGTGGTGCTGAATTCTCTTAGCTGTTGCTTGTCTGTAAAGCTTTTGATTTCTCCATTGAATCTGAATGAGATCCTTGCCGGGTAGAGTAATCTCAGTTGTAGGTGCTTCCCTTTCATCACTTTAAGTATATCATGCCACTCCCTTCTGGCTTGTAGAGTTTCTGCTGAGAAATCAGCTGTTAACCTTATGGGAGTTCCCTTGTATGTTATTTGTCGTTTTTCCCTTGATGCTTTCAATAATTTTTCTTTGTCTTTGATTTTTTCCAATTTGATTACTGTGTGTCTTGGTGTGTTTCTCCTTGGGTTTATCCTGTATGGGACTCTCTGCGCTTCCTGGACTTGGGTGGCTATTTCCTTTCCTATGTTAGGGAAGTTTTCGACTATAATGTCTTCAAATATTTTGTCGGGTTCTTTCTTCTCCTTCTGGGACCCCTATAATGCGAATGTTGTTGCATTTAATGTTGTCCCAGAGGTCTCCTAGGCTGTCTTCATTTCTTTTCATTCTTTTTTCTTTAGTCTGTTTCGCAGCAGTGAATTCTACCATTCTGTCTTCCAGGTCACTTATCCATTCTTCTGCCTCAGTTATTCTGCTATTGATTCCTTCTAGTGTAGTTTTCATTTCATTTATTGTATTGTTCATCTCTGTTTATTTGTTCTTTAATTCTTCTAAGTCTTTGTTAAACATTTCTTGCATCTTCTCGATCTTTGCCTCCATTCTTTTTTCCAGGGTCCTGGATCATCTTCACTATCATTACTCTGAATTCTTTTTCTAGAAGGTTGCCTATCTCCACTTCACTTAGTTATTTTTCTGAGGTTTTATCTTGTTCCTTCATCTGGTACATAGCCCTCTGCCTTTTCATCTTGTCTATCTTTCTGTGGATGTGGTTTTTGTTACACAGGCTGCAGGACTGTAGTTCTGCTTGCTTCTGCTGTCTGCCCTCTGGTGGATGAGGCTATCTAAGAGGCTTGTGCAAGTTTCCTGATGGGAGGGACTGGTGGTGGGTAGAGCTGAGTGTTGCTCTGGTGGGCAGAGCTCAGTAAAACTTTAATCCGTTTGACTGCTGATGGGTGGGCCTGGGTACCCTCACTGTTGGTTGTTTGGCCTGAGGCAACCCAACACTGGAGCCTACCTGGGCTCTTTTTTTTTTTTTTTGAGGTATGCGGGCCTCTCACTGTTGTGGCCTCTCCGTCTCCGGGGCACAGGCTCCGGACGTGCAGGCTCAGCTGCCATGGTTCAGGGGCCATGACTCATGGGCCCAGCCGCTCCGCAGCATGTGGGATCTTCCCGGACTTGGGCACGAACCCGTGTCCCCTGCATCGGCAGGCGGACTCTCAACCACTGCGCCACCAGGGAAGCCCTACCTGGGCTCTTTGGTGGGACTAATGGAAGACTCTGGGAGGGCTCACACCAAGGAGTACTTCCCAGAATTTCTGCTGCCAGTGTCCTTGTCCCCATGGTGAGCCACAGCCTCCCCTGCCTTGCAGGAGACCCTCCAACCCTAGCATGTAGGTCTGGTTCAGTCTCCTCTGAGGTCACTGCTCCTTCCCCTGGGTCCCGATGCACACACTACTTTGTGTGTGCCCTCCAAGAGTGGAGTCTCTGTTTCTCCCAGTCCTGTCAAAGTCCTGCAATCATATTCCACTAGCCTTCAAAGTGTGATTCTCTAGGTATTCCTCCTCCTGTTGCCGGACCCCCAGGTTGGGAAGCCTGATGTGGGGCTCAGAACCTTCACTCCACTGGGTGGACTTCTGTGGTATAAGTGTTCTCCAGTCTGTGAGTCACCCACCCAGCAGTTATGGGATTTGATTTTACTGTGATTGTGCCCCTCCTACCATCTCATTGTGGCTTCTCCTCTGTCTTTGGATGTGGGGTATCTTTTTGGTGAGTTCCAGTGTCTTCCTTTCAATGATTGTCCAGCAGCTAGTTGTGGTTCTGATGTTCTCGCAAGAGGGAGTGAGAGCACGTCCTTCTACTCTGCTATCTTGGTTCAGGCAAGACTGGTAGTTCTGAGAATGCTCTTATACCTTCATTTAATTTCTAGATAGCAGTTTCCTCTCAGACAAGAGCTATAAAAGCTTAGAGCACTCTCCCAGGGTGTACTTTTTCTATTCCAAGTCTGTCTTAGACAAACTAGAGCTGGTGGATGGATGACTACTCTGGTTACAGCTGCGAGGGGAAGCTCAGCTGGTTATTTTAGGCACGTTTCCTATTAATATATATATATATTTTTAATTCTGAAGGAATATGGAAGAAATTTCTGTTGTGTTCTTTGGAAGACAACCAGGAGCCTTTACATATTGATAGATTATTCCACAGTTTACAGTATCAGAGACCTGATTAAGCCCTGTGTTTGTCTCTGACCTTTGGCTCAAATGTTCATTTTGTTCTACTTCTGAGGCTTGAGATACGGATCTGAGACCCATGTTAAATGAGACTTTCAGAAAAGTTTATTTATTAGGGAGAATATGGAAGGCAGCAAATCAATGAGGGGAGAGGTCTACAAGCTCACTAGGGGTAGCTCTCTGTCACTAAGAACACATCTAAGGAGGGGTGAGTTGCAAGAGAAGGATTTTCTCAATGGAAAGATAAAAAAAGGTACTTCTTTCATGTCTGAGTCCACTCAGCATTTTCCATCATGCAGAAATCTAATTTTTCCCTGAGATTTCCTGAAGGAAGAATCAGAATAAATATTTCATTAATATAATATCAGAGCTACAAAAATACTTGTAGAATTATCTATCACCCTTATTTTATATTTGAGGAAACTAAGAGCATAAAGGACATTGATTACAGACAAAAGCCAGGTTATTGGATTTCCTACCCTGTTATCCTTCCATGATTCCAAGATGCCACTGAAGATATTATGACCTATATTATAAGCTCTTTGAAAATAAGTTACTTAATCAGGCCTCAGCTTATGATATATGAGGCATATCAGTCCTCATCTTACTCTGTCAATACTCTTACACTTTGGCTGAATTCCTCATTAGTAGGGGTGGCCTGAGGCTTACACATTCCTGTCTCATTGCTCTTTGTGAAAATTACAAAATGATCATTGGGTGGAGGGCTTCAGTCTGGTGCCACGGGGAGAGTTTTTCTCCCTGTGAACTTCACTGTCTTATACAGAGATCAACCCTGAAGCCACAGTTTAGTGAGACTTAGTGTCTAATCACTGATAATCATGTCACATAAATCCAAAAACTAAACTAGCCAGAGGACCCAAACTTTATAGTCACCTATCCTAGCTCAGAGTTTCAGACACATATGAAGTTGAAGATATCTGAGAGAAGGCAAAAGTATAGTTTGTTTTAAAATCAAAGAATTTTAAGGACTCAAAGGGATATTTAAAGCTTCAAGTGAAAAAAAATCTATCAATTGGCATATGGGAATGAGAGGGCTGAGAGAAGAAAGGGCCTAGCAAACACTACTGAGTACAGCGAGTCTGCTTTCTACTCCAGTGGGCTTTGTATTGCCACATGTTCTCCTGAGCAGGGACTGATTATTATGAGCAAACTGGAGCAAATTCCTGGCTTCAAGGCTGTTGTACTTGGTAGAAGAGGTAATCACCTTGCACTAAGCTTTTTCATTGTTCTCTTCTTTTCTCCCAGTATTACTCACATGCTCTCAACACACAAGATGCAGGGATTTTCATAGGTTATCAAATTGTTGCCACAGATGGGTTGATATATACCAGGGCAGGGGTTCACTGTTCCATTGAACCAACTCAATCTACTTTCTTATATGGACATTTCACATGAAATTGAGTTGAAAAGAATGATATGATTAGAATTACACTCACAGACACCCCTGGACTTTACTAGGAAAATCTAAACATAGAATCATATCCTGGTCTGACAAAAGCTCTCTAGCTTCCCCCTCCACAAAGCAAGGGAACCAGAACCCACGTATGTCCATCAGCTAACAACGTACGTGATGCCCTTGTTGTCAGGACCTCCTGACAGGAAGAGAGAAAGGAGGCCTGCTATGCTATAGTGGGAAAAGGAAGAGTGCGTTAACAGGACAGATTTGGGAAATTTAGCTTCTCTCTCAATCTCCTTTATTCTCAGACTATTTGACCTGGAATTAGTCTTAGAGATTTTCTGTGGTAACTCAGCTAAGGAAACTGAAGCCCCATAATTGGAAAAGATGTTTCACTGAAATCTATATGCCTTGACTTAAAATATTTATCACATCTTACCTACTAAAAATATCTCCAAGCTAACTCTTATCTTGAAGTTGTAAAACATGAGATCATTTAGAGTAACTCCCTGATTTTGTAGGGAAAACTGAAAACAAAGAAAGGGGCATGTCTCAGTGGGACCAGAACCCATGTCTGCTTGCAATGTTGGTATCAGTGATGGCTTGAGAGCAGTGACTCTGGGATGATTGAGCTTGACGATGATAGTCTCAGGGGCTCTATGATTACCATAAGATAGGTAGATAAATTACCTCTAATACAAGGTGGGTAGGAGTTTGGGCTATTTAGAGAAAGAGGGATCATATTTGAGCTCTTCTCCCTTCTTCCCTTATCCAACACCAGCACCATGGCCAGGTCACCACCATCTGTCTGTCACCCAACTACTCCCTCCACTTTCTCCTTTCCTCTGTAGCCTCTAATTTCTGTAATTTAAACATCCATTGAATCATATTATTCCTGTACTTATACTCTTTTAATTGCATTTCACTGCACATAAAAAATTTCTTCTTAGTATAAGGTAAAAGACCCTATGTGATCTGTACCCTTCTGACTTTTCCAACCTTGCCTTATACCACCTTGCTCTTTGCCATTTTCCATGGGGTTTTTTTGGCTTTTTAAAAATTTTGTTTTGTTTTTGCTTCAAGTGCTCCATAGTCCCTCCATCTCAGAGTCTTGTGGTTTGTCACAACCACCCCATCAAATGTATTGTCTTTTTCTTGAACCTAAACTCATTATGCCTTCAGAGCTAAAGTTATGACCTACTTTCTCAGAGAGTTCCCAAAATACAATCCCAACTTTCCATTCCTTTTTAAATACCTCTAATCAGTGTGTAATAAAGCATTTATACAATTATTTGACTAATTCCACACTCCAAAGAATTATAAGCCCATAAGGGTAAGGTCTGTTTCTGATTAACCTTTGTGTGTCCAGCACATATATTGGCACTTAGTCTTGCTGTATAAATATGTGCAAAATGAGTAAGATTTTAAATAGTTCAAACTGAATGAATATAGTCAAATAATAGCAAGAATAATTAGTATCATCTTTAAATATAGCTTTTCTTTCTCTTTAGAGTAGGATATATTTTCATCGGGTGAGTAGGCTATGTATTCATCTGTGTAACTATAACATCTGCTGCACCCTCTCCCTCCCTCTCTGTGTTCCAGTCACGCAGGTCTTTAATCAGTGACTCAAGTAGGTAAATCTTCCTCACTGCTCTCCATCTGGGTGGCTCCTTCTCACCCTTCACATCTCAGATATCCCCATGCCCAAGAAGCCTTCACTGACCACATTGTTGATAGTAGTATCTCTACTTTCAAAAGATATTCTCTATTGTACCATCCTATTTCTTTTATTTATAGAATTATTTATAGAATTGACTATAAAAACAGTCACTCTCTTCATTTTTTCTGGCTATTTTTGTAAGCTTCATGAGAAAATAAGTAAGAATGAGTAAGGTTATTTTTGTTTATAAATTTATGGACAAGTGGAGGACTACTCTTGCAGGCAACCTTCTTAAGAGGAAAACTTTAGGACTCAACTCTATTAGACTAGAGTATAAATCCTGGACAAATTTTATAGACTTTTTTGCTGGAGCTATAGCCTCTGACAGGTTCTACACTCTGATCTCTGCGTCCCTTGAAGGCCAAGCTGCCCTCAAAACATCTTTCTCACCAGTCAACTCATGAATATATTTTTTTAAGAAGTAAAATTTAAAATTTACTAATGAGACAAAAGCTTAAAGTGCAAGTGCTCCTGAAGTGAGGAACTACAGTGATGCAAATCCACATCAAAAAACCAAAACAATCTTTCATTTCACTATTTCCCCCATTTATTAAACATTTATTTTACCCCACAATATGTTCAGTGCTCAGAGGTATAGCTGAAAATGAAAAAGGTGTCTCTGTCACTTTGCCCTCATACGAGTTGGAAACAGAATTTGAGGCTCTGTTCAGAGATTTCCTGTTCCTTCACATTTCCTCAGTCTATATCTTAGAGTTGGCGTTTGCCATTCACAACTCCCGTAGGCATTCTCTGCATATCACAGGGCAGTTAGGAGCATTCTTTCCACCAAACTGTGAGCCCCTCCAGAGCAGAAACCATGTTATGCCCAAGTCTGTGGGCATATAAGAACCTGCCCTGCCCCCTGGCAACCGCCAGTGTCCATAAACATTTTCCAGGCACTACCGAGGGCTCTGTGGTATACCTATGACCAAATCTCAGCTTGGGTCCCAGTTTGGATTACTCTCCTCTGAACTCCTATACCTACAGTGTACCTGCCACATTCATGTGACATTGAAGAACATCACTTGCCTCAGTAAGGTTCTAAAATAGTAATTCCAAAGAAAACTCAGAGCCTCGTTCCCAGGAAATTTAGAGGAAAATTACCTTAATATTTCCATGTGGTGGCCGCCAGTGTGGAGGGCCTGAAACCATAACAAATGAAAATAGTTAAAGAATCTAGTATCTGGTAAGTCATAGCTTAATTTGTTGACAGAATAAAAGAGTTCTATGTAGTACCAAGAAAGCTTGCAATAATTGAAAACATTATTTCATTTATACATATATTCATTCATTTTTTTAAAATGTGGGGTAACTCTTTTACTCCTGGTAGATAATCAGCAGAAGACTATATAGGTGCATCACTGCCAGTCCAGTGTACCAAATAATTTTTTGATTAACAGTAATTAGCCTGGGCTTGAGAGGATTCAGAGCTGACAGCCAATATATGAAAGAAATTAAGAAATGCTAGAACTTTAAAGAGATCTTTTAACCCAATCCCCATATCTTATGAAATGCCCAAGAATTCATGGCAGATATGTAAGAAAACTAAGCTCTTCAGTCTTTGAAGCTAGGTCGCTCTACATGACTTCTCTAAAAAAGGACACAAAAGATAATGACCCAGTCAGATATATGGCAGAGCATTTTCAAAAGTTCTGAATTTTTGTGATGCACTGTCTTGGAGGCATATTGCCAGTCACTTTCACATGTTACCTCACCCAGTCACCCAAGCCCCTGGTCCCCACGAGTTAGGTCTTATAGTCTGCATTAATAGATGGGAAAGCTAAGGCCCCTGCCCATTGGCCCAGAGCCTTTTTTTTGATCACACTCCATTGTCTGTCTCTCTATATATACAGATATATAAGTATAGTAAAATGATACACTTAATAAAAATATATATACACAAAAATCTCAAAGCCTTCTCTTCTAGATTATCATGTCACAGCCCAGCAATCAACCTTACATCCCTGCGCAAAACAGCTACATTACTCACCAGAAGGTAACGTCAAATGTATCACGATAAAGAACAGAAGTGAGCAGAGTACTGGGAAGGATTTGGCCATTTTTCCTCCTGGCGTGTCCTTAGAATAATTCTCTGAGATACTGCTTCAGGATGTTGCCTTTTGATACAATCACAAAAGAAGAGGCTATCAGGATATTAAGACCACTTCTGAAGTGAATATTCATCTCCAGTATACGTATTGTATGCTCCTTCTCCGAGAACAAATGCTCAGGAATAAACTTTGCTTAGTTATAAATAAATGTATAGATCTCAGTGACAGACCTGTGACTACTTAGAAGACAAGTAAATCAGAGGTTACTGTTTGGGAATAACTGTATTATGTTAGGATGGAGATATTTTAAGTGTCTTGAAAAGGCACCTTACCTGACGATTCTCTCAAAATTTTTTTATTTGAAAGGATACAAAGAAAATGATGAGGCTGCTAGAGGCTTCTAGACAACAAGGGCTTCTCAATAGAGGAAGCAGGTCTGTACTTGGTCATGAAGCAGAGATTGCCTCTTGAGATTAAGAAAAAAATTTCTAATACTCCAGGCCTACTTGGCTGTGCTGAGAATCTTCTGACTTGGAAAGCTAAACCCTCTTGGAGCATTCTGAGAGACTGCAAACTCTATCTCACAGGAGTTCCAAAGCTATTTCATCCAGACACAGAAAGGGAGAATTCAGTGAGCAAATCCTCCCTTGGGATTGCCTTTCCTTGTAGCAGTCTTTCTGACCCTAAAGAATGGTATATGGAGGTTCCAGGTCCTGACCAAGGACCACATTGAACTCTCCCTGTCTTCCTGTTCCTGCAAAAGTGACCTGGTCCTCCCTATGTCCTAGAGGCCGTTTTCTCTGCTCTGTAGCATATGTTGATAGGTAATATACATGAACTTGCCTTTATGCTATGGTGTGATATTTGTTATCTGAGACACTGAGATGTTTCCACAGTACTCCACTCTCCAGGATGTCTGGAGGCTCCTGGCACAATGTCCAGAGCTGTCTGCTTGGCCCGCTCCTGAGACAGTCTATGATTCCATGTTTTTCTAAATACATTCCCATCTCTTCCTGACATCTTCCCTGGATTCTTTTAGGAATGGGGCTTCAACAGTGGGAGATCCAGCTGTACCAGAACACAATGCCAGATGCCCACTCTCCCTGCAACGTGTACCCAGGTTGACTCACCTCAGAAAGGAAGTGAGATGTAATGTATTTGTGGCTGGTGCCTCTCCTTTAAGGAGCATGTGTTAGCGCCTCAAGAGGGGATAGAATAGCTGTGTAGGAGAGGGAAGACACTGATGCATTGTGTGCTGGGCTGAGCAGGCCCTGGGAGGCCAAACATTTAGGATGAGTCAAAGACAAACTCAGCAGGAGGTGTTGGGGAAGGGAGTACAGAGATGCCTACAAGACTCGGGTGGTGGGAACGGATCGCTGGCCAGGGCAGCCCTGGGTGGGCAATCCAAAGAGGCAACAGCAGAAGAAACATACCACAGTAGGAAAGAGCATAGAAGTATTGAATGTTCCACAACAATAATTAGTGCCTTTGGCCAGAATGAAAAATGTGGAAACAGCTGAGGAAGAGAGGAGGTTGCAGTGACAGATGAGGTCTGTGGATGCCATTTGCAGTGGGTCCAGCCTTGTCCTGTAGCAATCCAAACCTTTGCAGCTTTGTAACAAGGAAGATACCTTATCAGAGCTGGGTTTCCTCCTAATTTCTGAACTTCCTGCCTCTATGTTACATTTTTTAAAAAGCAATTCTTCTTATGTCAAGGAAATACAAGTTTAGAAAATTCAAAAAGTAGAAATATTAGAAAAGAAATAAAAAGACAAGAAACCTCAAAACCCATAGATAACTGTGAAACATAAACTGTATTGAATTATATCATTCCAGTTTTTAAAAAAAAATCTATATATACATACACAGAAATGAACATATATACATGTTCTTGTCATATTTGATCAAATTTTTGTAGTATATATTGTTTTACACTTTTTTGACTTAGAAATGTACTGTGACATTTTCTTGATCTTTTAATATAGTCATATGGAACATGAATTTAGACGCCTAGTGTCATATTCTATCACATATATGGATTTTTATTATATTAATATTCTTCCATAGTTGCTCAGTTAGGCTGATTTCAATTTCATTATTCTTAACAATACTGGAATGAACAAACTTTTATTTACCTCAGTTAATTTGTCTCATTACTTCATTTCAATAAAAGCCTAAAAACAGAACTACTGGAAACTTCCAGAAAGGACCTGGGTCACTTAGAATATGAAAGAAGTGGTTTTCATCCAACCTGTGGGCTCTGTAAGTCTAATATGGAACAATTTGAAAATACCCTGTCATCTTCCTAAGTAAATCAGTCATCTCCCAGTTCACAGAGGTAGAGGCATCCCATTGTTTAGGAAGGATTCTGGACATAAAAGCAAAAGATCAAGTTACAATATTTTTGTCAACTTGAAAAGTAATTTTTCCTCTCTGGACGGAATTTTCCCATTTTCACAATGGGGTAATCAAACCTTCCTTAAGGAACTCTTTGGAGGTTTAAGTGAGCTAACATTTAAACAGCTTGGAAAACTGCCTGCCTCCGCTACTGATATGGGCTTTATGGGCTCAGAGCCGCAGATTGATTGCATTGTATGAGTATTCAAAGGTAATAATGAGCGTGAAATTACTTCCCACCTGATAATAAATAATTTACATTTTTCTCAACTTTGCTTTGTCACAGATTTTGTTATTAGCAGGGTATCACTGGTTAAATGAGTTCCTGTAGGCCTTCTACTGTCTGGGATTCTGGTTTGTCAGGAGTTGTATGGGCACTGGAAATACAGCCGTGAAAAAGAATGGCATATTCTTTACCTTAATGGAGCTTATACCTTGGCAGGAGAATATTATTAAACAAATAATTACTCGTGGAAGGCAGACTTGAAGAAGCAAATTTTAACATTTGAGCTTCCTGACTCTTGTGACATTCCAGTATGAATCATGGCCCCTCTGATACTCATCCATAACAGCAATGAGAAATCAAACAGTAATTTCCACAGATCCAATATATTGACTAGGTAAAAGTGAAGCAAACTTTCCTAAGATAAAAGGAATTGCATATTATCAATGTGACCCTGTTTAATAGCTACAAAAATAAGATAACAGAGAGAGGTCTACAAACAGTATTTAATCCTGTAGATTAAATACATAGAGGAAAATACATAGAAGAAAAAGAAAAACATAGGAAAAAATCAAGCTAAAATATTTTTAGCTTTTCCAAATTCCAGTTGAACTAATATTGGGAGAGGAGAGTAAATAAGACTGAGGGATCCCATCTTCCTCAAAGAATCCTTAGTCTTTGACTTCCTCATCATCTCTCATACCCATGGTTGAATTCCAGAAGCTACAATTTGGGGCTTTGTTCCTAGATGTCAGGCTCCTATTCCTAGCTATGAAATAATTCAGTTTGTATGTTCCAGTGTCACCTCAAACGAATATTTTAAAAAACCAACACCTCACTCTACAGTCCAAAGCAGATTCTTTTTTTTTAAGTTTATTTTTTTATTGAAGTATAGTTAATTTACAATGTTGTGTTAGTTTCAGGTGTACAGCAAAGTGATTCAGTTATATATATATATATTATAATACATATATATATATTCTTCTTCAGGTTCTTTTCCATTATAGGTTATTACAAGTTATTGAATATTGTTCCCTGTGCTATACAGTGGGTCCTTGTTGTTTATCTGTTTCGTATATAGCAGTGTGTATCTGTTAATCTGAAACTCCTAATTTATCCCTCCCCCACCCTTTCCCCTTTGGTAACCGTAAGTTTGTTTTCTGTGTCTGTCTGTTCCTGTTTTTTAAACAAGTTCATTTGTATCTTTTTTTTTTTTAGATTCCATGTGCAAGTGATATTATGTGATATTTATCTTTCTCTACCTGACTTCACTTGATATGATAATCTCTAGGTACATGCATGTTGCTGCAAATGGTATTATTTTATTAATTTTTATGGCTGAGTAGTATTCCATTGTATACATGTACCACATTTTCTTTATCCATTCATCTGTCAATGGACCTTTAGATTGTTTCCATATTTTGGCTATTGTGAATAGTGCTACTGTGAACTTAGGGGTGCATGTATCTTTTTGAATTATAGTTTTGTCCAGATATATGCCCAGAAGTGGGATTGCTGGATCATATGGTAGCTCTATTTTTAGTTTTTTAAGGACCCTCCATACTGTTCTCTGTAGTCGCTGCACAATTTGCATCCCCACCAACAGTGTAGGAGGGTTCTCTTTTCTCCACACCCTCTCCAGCATTTTAATGATGGCCATTCTGACTTGTGTGAGGTGATAGCTCATTGTAGTTTTGATTTGCATTTCGCTAATAATTAGCAATGTTGAGCATCTTTTCACGTGCCTGTTGGCCATCTCTATGTCTTCTTTGGAGAAATGTCTGTTTAGGTCATCTGCCCATCTTTTGATTGAGTTGTTTTCTTTTTTTGTTTTGTTTTTGATATTAAGCTATATGAGCTGTTTGTATATTTTGGAAATTAATCCCTTGTCAGTAGCATCATTTGCAAATATTTTCTCCCATTTTGCAGGTTGTCTTTTCATTTTGTTTATAGTTTTCTTTGCCATGCAGAAGCTTTTAAGTTTAATTAGGTCCCATTTGTTTATTTTTACTTTTATTTTCATTACTCTAGGAGATGGGTCCAAAAACATATTACTGCAATTTGTGTCAAAGTGTGTTCTGCCTATGTTTTCCTCCAAGGGTTTTATAGTATCCAGTCTTACATTTAGGTCTTTAATCCATGTTGAGTTTATTTTTGTATATGATGTTAGAGAATGTTCTAATTTTTTTCTTTTACATGTAGCTGTCCAATTTTCCCAGTGTCACTCAGTGAAGAGACTGTCTTTTCTCCATTGTACATTCTTGACTCATTTGTTGAAGGTTAATTGACCATAGGTGTGTGGCCAAAGCAGATTCTTACCACCATTAGGGATGTGGAAATCCTTCACAGGATTTTACCTAAGACTGCATGTTCTCCAGTAGAAAGGAAA